CATTGTTGGACCAGAGACGTCTTCGAAACACTGATCAAGTGATTCTCAATTTTGGCCTCCCAAGGATGCAGGATACAGGTTTGAGGCCATGCCCAGCCTATGATTTATTATTTTTTACTATGGATGGATGTCTCACTGTTGCCAGGCTAGGGTGCAGTGCCATCACTCAGCTCACTGCACTCTGCCTCCTGGTTCACACAATCTCCTGCCTCAGTCAAGCAGGTGGATTACAGGCATCGCCACCACTGCTGCTAAATTTTTTTTTTTTTTTTTTTTCTAAAGAATGGAGTGATCTCCTCTGCCACACAGGCTGGAAGTGCAGTACCCGATTCCCTCACTCCAACCCCCGATTCAAGCGATTCTTCGGCCTCAGCCTCTGAGTAGCTGGACTAGGCGTATCCACCATGCAACTAATTTGATTTAAGTAGAGTTGGATCACCATGTGGTCAGGCGATGGCCTTCAATCTCCTGACTTGTGATCTGCCTGCTTACCTCCAAAGTGCTTGGGTTAAGGTGGAGTTTACCACGGCCTTGCCTTCTTTTTTTGGAGACAAGTTCCACTGTTGTTGCCCACCTTAGAGCGTGCATTGGCCGGATTCTCAGCTCACTAAACCTCTGCCATCCCTGAGTTTCAAGACGATTCTCGCTGCTCAGCCTCACCAGTGTAGCAAGATCCGAACTCCTTAACTCAGGTGATCCACACTCGCCTTCCAAACATGCTTGGATTACAGGCATGAGTTTACCGCACCCGTTATGTCTTATCTTTAAAAACACTTCACATTGGCGGAGCGCGGTGGCATCACCGCCTGTAATCCTAGCACTTTGGGAGGGCTGAGGCGGGCAGATTCACGAGGGCATGGAGATCGAGCCCGATCCTGGCTAACATGTGAAACCTCCGTCCCTGTCTCTACTAAAAATACAAAAAATAGCTGGACTTGGTGGCAGATGCTTGTAATCCCAGCTACTCGGGAGGCTGAGGTGGGAGAATCGCTTGAGCTCGGGAGGTTAAGGCTGCAGTGAGCATGATTGTACCACTGTACTCCAGCTTGGGTGACAGAGCGAGACTCCGTCTCAAAAAAAAACAAAACAAAACACTTTGCATTATAGAGCATTTCAAATCTGTGCAGTAGAATATCATAATAGGATAATGGGCATAAATATATACAGTTATTGTTTGTCAATTAAAAAAAAACAGTAGAATAATGAACCTCAGTCGCCATCAACCAGCTTCCAGGGTTATCAGCACAATGCCTGTTTTGTGACATCTATAACCCCTCTTATTTTTCCTAAGTCCAGTATTTTAAGGCAAATCACAGACACCATATCATCAGTAAGTTCTTCAGCTTGTATTTATTTTTATTTGTTTTAATTTTTTTTGGAGACAAGGGTCTCCCTCTGTTGCCCAGGCTGGAGTGCAGTGGCTCAATCTCGGCTCACTGCCCACCATCCGGGCTCAAGTGATCCTCCCACCTCAGCCTCCTGAGTAGCTGGGACTACAGGTGTAAGCCACCATGCCTAGCTAATTTTTGTGTTTTTTGTAGAGGTGAGGTCTCACTATGTTGCCCGGGCTGGTCTCAAACTCCTGAGCTCAAGCGACCCACCTGCCTTGGCCTCCCAAAGTGTTGGGATTACAGGTATGAGCCACCAAATGAAGCCACTGTATTTCTAAAAGGTGAAAAGTTAAGAAACTGTTAAATAACTAAAATATAATCATTTTTAATATTACCTAATCATTTTTTGGATTTCCTTGGTTGTAGAAAAAGTGCCTATTAAAGTTGGTTAGTTTTTTTGTTTTGTTTTGTTTTTTTGAGACGGAGTCTTGTTCTGTCGCCCAGGCTGGAGTGCAGTGGCCTGATCTCGGCTCACTGCAAGCTCCGCCTCCCGCGTTCACGCCATTCTCCTGCCTTAGCCTTCGGAGTAGCTGGGACTGCAGGTGCCCGCCACCACACCCGGCTAATTTTTTTGTATTTTTAGTAGAGACGGGGTTCACCGTGTTAGACAGGATGGTCTCGATCTTCTGACCTCGTGATCTGCCCACCTTGGCCTCCCAAAGTGCTGGGATTACAGGCGTGAGCCACCGCGCCCGGCCTACAGTTGGTTAGTTTTGAATCAGGAATCAAACAAGGTCCACACTGCATTGGCTAGTTTTCTGACTTTAAATAAAGCCTTGTGTCGTCAGCCTGTGCTAGAGGGAAGCGAGAATGCCCAGACTCTTCCATTTCAAGCCTAGTCCCACTGCCTTGGGCTCTGCCGCCCCCGTTACCCCAATTGAGACCTAATTTCCCTTTTTAGGGAATTCCTGCCTCCTCACCCTTAGTGGGCTTCTTGGGAGTGGGGGTGGGAGTTAGCCAGCAGGGATGCCCTGAGCCCTCACTGCCCACCCGCAGGTCTCCACCAGCTCCTGGCTGGGTTCGAGGACAAGTCAGCCTACGCGCTCTGCACGTTTGCACTCAGCACCGGGGACCCAAGCCAGCCCGTGCGCCTGTTCAGGGGCCGGACCTCGGTGCGTAACCACCTTGATGCAGTTCCCGCCGCACGCCGCCAGGGGGTGCCGCGACAGAAGCCGACCGCCCCGGGTCTGCGGGAGGGTAGTGGGAAGAGCGCCTTGGGGCCAAAGATATCTTGCCTTGCTGAGAGGCTCCCCTGGGCAGCATAGGTAGAAGTGCTGTCAATCCTAGGAGGGTGGTGGAAAGGGTGCCCTGGGGCCAGAGTAGTTACCTTCGCCTTGCTGAGGGGCGCCCCTGGGCAGGACAATGGAAGTGTTGTCAATTCTGAAACCTGTTTGACCCCTGAGGCTGTTGTTTCAGGGAAAGGCTTGGCTAACAGCTCCTGAGGCCTGATAGACCCAGAAGAGCAAACTGAAGGTGACAACTCCCAAAACTACTTTTTTTCTTTCTTTCTTTTTTTTTTTTTTTTGTTGTTGTTGTTAGTAAGAAACCACACTTGGATCAAAGCTACATGTATAGCCCAGACTTCTCCAAGCTCAGATTTCCTTATCCAACTGCCAAGGTGCTTGACTATCTCTCAGCCTTTCCAGCTTTTCGTGTTTATGTATAATAGAATCTTAATTTTTTTTTTTTTTTTTTTGCAAAGTCTTGCTGTGTTGCCCAGGCTGGAGTGCAGTGGTGTCATCTCGGCTCACTGCAACCTCTGCCTCCAGGGTCCAAGTACACAATGTGAATTCTTGGCCAGGTTTGGTGATTTACACCTGTAATCTTGGCACTTTGGGAGTCCCAGGTGGGAGGCGTTCTTGAGCCCAGGTGTTCAAGATTAGCCTGGGCACCATAACAAGACCCCATCTTTACAAATAATCTAAAAATGAGGCCGGGCACGGTGGCTCACGTCTGTAATCCCAGCACTTTGGGAGGCCGAGGCAGGTGGATCACCTGAGGTCAGGATTCAAGAACAGCCTGGCTAACATAGCAAAACCCTGTCTCTACTAAAAATACAAAAAATAGCTGGACTTGGTGGCAGATGCTTGTAATCCCAGCTACTCGGGAGGCTGAGGTGGGAGAATCGCTTGAACCCGAGAGGCAGAGGTTGCAGTGAGCCGAGATCCCGGCACTGCACTCCAGCCTGGGTGACAAGAGCAAGACTCCGTGCCCACCCCCCACCCCCCCAAAAAATGAGGCTGAGCACAGTGGCTCACACATGTAATCCCAGCACTTTGCAAAGCGAAAGCAGGAGGATCGCTTGAGGCCAGGAGTTTGAGACCAGCCTGGGTAACATAGCCAGACCCTGTCTCAAAAATAAATAAATAAATAATTAGCTGGGCATGATGGTGCACACCTGTAGTCCCAACTACTTGGGAGGCTGAGGTGGGAGGATCACCTGAGCCTAGGAGTTTGAGGGTACAGTGAGCTATGATCGCACTCCTGCACTCCAGCCATGGAGTAATGGAGTGAGACCCAGTCTCAAATAATAATAATAATAATAATAATAATAATAACACCTTAATTATTTGCCCAAACTTATTCCTTCCGTGAGATGTATTCCACACCCCTTACCTGCCTATCAGATTCTGAATTACAGCTGCTTCTCCCAGGGTCCAGACTACCCTCCAGGCTGGCTGCTGCCCCTGTGCCCACCTGCTCTCTCCCTGTGCAGAAGCATGCCTTCTGCCACTTCACTCCTCTGCGCAGTTCCTGCCGCTCAGGACAATGTCCAGAGATTCCACTGGGAGCTGTTCACAGATGTCTTACCTTGTCTGGTAAAAATTTTTGGTGGTGGTGGTGATGGTTAAAAAAAAAAAAATTACTATCGTAACCATTTTTTTTTTCTTGGTACTCACTGGTTATAGCTTTTTTGTTTGTTCGTTTGAGACGGTGTCTTGCTCTGTCGCCAGGCTGGAGTGCAATGGCATGATTTTGGCTCACTGCAACCTCCACCTCCTGGGTTCAAGCAATTCTCCTGCCTCAGCCTCCCGAGTAGCTGGGATTACAGGCGTGCGCCACTATGCCTGACTAATACAGGCATGCGCCACAATGCCCGGCTCATTTTTGTATTTTTAGTAGAGATGGGGTTTCGCCATTTCGGTCAGGCTGGTTTCGAACTCCTGACTTCGGGTGATCCACCCTCCTTGGCCTTCCAAAGTGCTGGGATTATAGGCATGAGCCACCGTGCAGGCCCCCATACTTTCATTATTGAACTTAACACCTTGTTCATTCCCTTTAAGGCACTTTGCATTGTATAATCATTACTTTTATTAATTTGTTTACTGGTGTAATGCCTGTTTGGCTTAAGAGGTCTATTGTATGAGGGCAAGGCTAGGCCCACTGTGGGTGTACAAAACACATTTGTTGTATGGTTGAGGTTCAGTAACTGGCCTTGGTCACGCAGCCCCTCATAGCGGAAGTAGAATTTGCCTTTGGGTCTAAATTACTTGGCATTTATGTGACTAACCCCAATCATGTACCACCTCCACTGTATTTTTTAAAAATTAAAAAAAAATGTTTTTGAGACAGGGTCTTGCTTTATCACCCAGGCTGGAGTGCAGTGGCATGGTTACAGTTCATAGCAGCCTTGATCTCTCAGGCTCAAGTCATCCTCCCACCTCAGCCTCCTGAGTAGCTAGGACCTCAGGTGCGAGCTACTACATCTGGCTAATTAAAAAAAAAAAAAAAAATTGGTAGAGATAGGGTCTGACTGTGTTTGGCCAGACTGGTCTTGAACTCCTGGGTTTAAACCATCCTCCCTCCTCCGCTTCCCAAAGCGCTGAGATGACAGGCATGAGCTACCACACCTGGCCCCTTGTATTTTTTCAGTTAGAATTTTTTGGGGTTTTTTGTTTGTTTTTTGGAATGTTTGTATGTTTGTTTTGAGACAGGGTCTCAGTCTGTCGCCCGGGCTGGATCACAGCTCACTGCAGCCTCGACCTCTTGGGCTCAAGCAGTCTTCCCACCAAGTATCTGGGACTACAGGCTCACACCACCAGGCTAGGCTAATTTTTGTATTTTTTGTAGAGATGGGATTTCGCCTTTGCCATGTTGCCCAGGGTAATCTCAAATTGCTGGGCTCAAGTGATCTTCCCACCTCAGCCTCTCAAAGTCCTGGGATTACAGGCATGAGCCACCGTGCCTGGCCAGATTGTTTTTTCTTTTTTTTTACTTTGATAACAACATGACATTTCATGTCACTGGATTACAATTTGTTCTTTTTTCTAACATTTTCACTGTGGAATTTCCCTACTACAGCCAGTATTTACTGTACTCACTTATGTGTTCATGAAGTGGGGAGCTGGGTGCCTGCTTCTGGTTGCAGTGTTTCATCGTATGGTTAAAGTCTTCCTCGCATTTTCAGGAACACGGTCATAGTGGCAGGCATCTGGCTTGTCCACAGACTTCAGGGCACTTAGCTTCCTATTAGGAGAAAACGTTTTCTATCTATCAAAGTAGCCTCATTGTTCTTCAGTGATATCCCAGTTTGTCCCGGGTGTGGCGAGGGCACGTGGCCTCGGAGGTGCCAGTGGGCCCATCGGGTGCATGCCTCCTCCCTGTGTGAGGGGAGAGCTGCCCCACTCTGCTTTTTATTGTATTCAGCAAACATTTGCAGGTGCTATAGAGGCCTTGTAACTATTTTGCATAAGTTGGGTCAAATCAAATTCACAAACTCACCAAACTCCTACTGGCCACTGCCCTCATCATGCTTGTCCTCTGGACCAAGTTACACACCAGTACCCCCTTTCCTTTGGCAGGGCCAGATCGTGGCACCCAGAGGCTGCCGGGACTTTGGCTGGGACCCCTGCTTTCAGCCTGATGGATATGAGCAGACGTAAGGAGCCCTGGTTTCTTCCCTGGGGTGTGGGGTTGGCATAGCCATGGTTTGGGTTGGGCCAGTGCCCCGCCCAAGTGCAGGCATGCGGATATGGGCTGGGGAGGCTCTGAGGGTGCCGTTCCAGCCAAAGGCAGCTCTGCTGGGGTGGACACTAGGAATCTGGGTGGCCTAGTCCATGGTCGGGAAGGCAGCCAGATGGCACTGGGAGTCCTGGGCTCTAAGGCTCCAGGTCACCCCACATCAGCTGTGTAGCCAGTGGTTTCGCCTCTCTGGCCTTGGCTTGTAAGCTGTACCTCTGACTTTTTTTTTTTTTTTGAGACGGGGTTTTGCTTGCTGCTGGAGTGCAGTGGTGCAGTGGTGTGATCTCAACTCACTGCAGCCTCTGCCTTCCGGGTTCAAGCGATTCTCCTGTCTCAGCTGGGATTGCAGGCACGCACCATCATGCCCAGCTAATTTTTGTTATTTTTGGTAGAGACGGGATTTCACCAGATTGGCCAGGCTGGTCTCAAACTGACCTCAGGTGATCCACCTGCCTTGGCCTCCCAAAGTGCTAGGATTACAGGCATGAGCCACTGCGCCCGGCCACATCTGACAGTTTTATGGCGTCATTTTCTGACCCCCATCTAGGTTGGGAAAATGTCCAGGGTTTTGCAGCCTCTTGTGGGCACTATTTTATGCCCTCAAAGTACCAGTTGTTCTCAGTAGTTCGCACGAATCCCCCCTTATTCACACAAGGCACGGGCCATTGTTGGAATCAGGCTTTCCAGGCTGGAGGGGCCCTGAGGGAGCGCAGTCTGAGGCCCCACAATAGCCCCAGCAGGGGTGAGGACATTGTGGAACCAGCCACTAGCCATATGGGGCTGTGGAGTACTTGCATGTGGTGAGACCCAGAAATGGAATATTTTTATTCAGTGTTAATTCATTTAAATAGCCACACCTGGCTAGTGGCTACTGGCTGCCATCTTGCACAGAGCAGTCTGCAGGCCACAGGCGGGGTATGGGATTCTCACCTCACTGCCGTGCTGGCACAGAGGTCAGGCCCCTGGCCAGCTGTTCAAGTGCTCCCCCGCCCTCCACGCATTAGAGGAGACTGCTGTGTTTGCTCTGTCAGGCCCCACTGCTTCCTGTCAACAGATGACAAAGCTGATCAAACATGCAGCTCATCCCCCCTGTCCCCAGCTTCCCTTAATGACTTTTGGGCACACTAGAGCAAGTTTAATGTCCCTCCATGCTCATTCATGGGGGTTTCTGCCCCAGGGGAATTGAAAACTTGATCCGATTTTTAAAAGTTAACTGGCTGCCAGCAACCGCTGGGCCCCTCTGCTTTTCTGGGGGTCTGTGAGCTTTGGACTCCAGGGATGAGATGAGGTAGGGTAGGGAGGGGGTGCGTTTCCTCCCTGAATCTGGGCTCCCTGAGCTGTTACTGTCATCCCTCAGGTACGCAGAGATGCCTAAGGCGGAGAAGAACGCTGTCTCCCATCGCTTCCGGGCCCTGCTGGAGCTGCAGGAGTACTTTGGCAGCTTGACTTCTGCGGCTGGGGGAGGCCCCTCAGGCCGGGGATCTGGGGAGGGCTAGCCTGAAACCTCCCGCATCAGGCAGGCACCCCTGGAAGTACTTCCTTCAGGGTTTCCCCTTCCTGGGGGTGTCGAGTAGCCTCACCAGCCTGTCTGGAGGAGCAGCTGGCTCTGCTCTGAGAAACTCTGGGCAAGTGGATGCCATTCTCTTGCCCTTAGGATTCACTGCTCTCTCCTACAACCTCCAGGCCTGGGATCCTGCAAGGACCTTGGGTGGTAAAGCTGGACTTGGTGGAAGTGAGGGCTTGGGGAGGAACCATGCAAATCACCTCCCATGTTTTTTAAATGCAATAAATAACACTTCTGGATGAGACTTGTTTCCAAAATAAACCAGCTATATCTGTTTTGAACCCTGCCCCAGGCAGGTGTCTCAGTCTCCTTTGGCAGGTGCAGGAAGCCTTTTAGGTGGGGGTGGGGATGGGGACACGGGCAGCACTCTGTGGAAGGCGTTCGGATGCTACTGTGAACTGGAGTGTTACATCTCCACTCGCGTTCCTGCCTCACTCAGTGGCATGGATTGTGGGCTGACCTCCATCCTGGATCCATGCTGCCCCCTACCTGCAGGTAGTGCCAGGGCCTCCATGAAGCCTTACTGGGTTGGGGGCTGGGCGGTGTGGCACGCCCAGTGCTTTTGCCTTATGCTGTTACACAGCAGAGCCGCTAAAATGTTGGTTTACAATTACAATGCCCAGTTCATTTTTATGGTGAGGAGGGGCTGGAGTCCTCGACCCCAGTTGGCTTGATAGCCACAGTTCAGCCTGCCGGCTGCAGACCCCTCAGGAGACCTCGCTCACGCCACACACCCTTACTCTGTGCCCTGGAGAAGTCATTGCCTGGAAGGGACTTCCCCAGGTGGCTGCCTTGTCAGAGTGTCCAACCCAAGGACATTCAAGGGGGGCGTAGTAGGCTCAGGCTGGTGGGGCACCCCCAGGCTTGCTTCTGTGCCCACAGGCAGCTCTGGAGAGACCCCTGCAGTCCCTGTGACTCCATCCAGCAGGATGGCCCTGGGTCAGGACAGTGTCGTTCCTTCACTCCCCTCTTGCCTGCAAGCTCCGACTGGGTTAAACCCCCAGGAGGTGCTGCGCCCCTGCCCAGTCTCCTGAGTCTCCTTGATGGGTGGGAAAAGTCTAGCTGGGCCTCAGACGTGGGGTGCTGGGGGCCTGCCTGCTCCTTGCCAGTTGATCATGGATGCAGCCCCCCTGTGCAGGGAACACCCAGGCTACTGATGAGGGTACTCCAAAGAAGAATCACATGCTGCCTGGGTGGGATGGGGACATAGGCGTGGGGCAGGGCACCTCTCTGTATTGCCTGTTCAGCTCCTCCAGAATTCTGTCCTGGGTGCACATGACACTTTCTGCCCATTTTTTTTTACTTTAGCTACCTGTGATACTCTGAAGTATATATCTAGTTCCAGGCAAGGTGGCTCATGCCTGTAATCCCAGCACTTTGGAAGGCCAAGGTGGGAGGATCGCTTGAGCCCAGGACTTCACGACCAGCCTGGGCAACATGGCAAAACCTTGTCTTGGGCCAGGCGCGGTGGCTCAAGCCTGTAATCCCAGCACTTTGGGAGGCCGAGGCAGGTGGATCACGAGGTCAGGAGATCGAGACCATCCTGGCTAACACGGTGAAACCCCGTCTCTACTAAAAAACACAAAAAAAACTAGCCGGGAGAGGTAGCGGGTGCCTGTAGTCCCAGCTACTCGGGAGGCTGAGGCAGGAGAATGGCGTGGACCCGGGAGGCGGCGCTTGCAGTGAGCTGAGATCCGGCCACTGCACTCCAGCCTGCACTCCAGCCTGGGCTACAGAGCGAGACTCCGTCTCACAAAAAAAAAAAAAAAAAAAAAAAAAAAACCTTGTCTCTACAAAAATACAAAAATTTGCTGGGCATGGTGGTGCGTGTCTGTGGCCACAGCTACTCAGGATTCCGAGGTGGGAGGATCCCCTGAGCCTAGGGAAATCGAGGCTGCAGTGAGCCACGATCGCATCACTGCACTCCAGCCTGGGCAACAGTATGAGACCCCGTCTCAAAAAAAACATATATGTATTTGGTCTTTGACTCCTTTCCTAGCAAACAACTTAAAAACCCTCAGAAACTCCACACTGATGTCTTCTTGTGTGCTAATTAGGTGGCTGGCAGCATCTAGGTAGCTTGGTTATGGAAAGACCAAGACAGGACAAGAGGACTGGGACTTTCGGTCTCCACCCCCCGCCACACCTCCAGGGAGGGGCAGGGCTGAAGGTTCAATTGATCACCAGTGGCCAGTGGTTTATTCAATCATGCCTGCGTAATGAGGCCTCCCTAAAAACCCAAAAGGCCAGGGTTTGGGCACAGAGTTTCAGGGTTTCTGAATAGCCGAACATGTGGGGGTTCCTGGAGGGTGACACCCCGGGGAGGGCACACAAACTCTGTGCCCCTTCCCCCACACCTCACCCTGTGCATCTCTTCATCTGAATTCTCTGTAATAGCCTTTTTAATAAGCCAGTAGGGTGGGGGGCAAGGCCCTGGGCCCATTAGCTCTTATTCATCACTGGGAATTCCATCAATGCCCAACCCTTAAAAAATAATTAAAAAAAAAAAATTTAGGCAGGGCATGGTGGCTCATGCCTGTAATCCCAGCACTTTGGGAGGCCATGGCAGGCAGATCACTTGAGGTCAGGAGTTCAAGACCAGACTGACCAATATGATGAAACCCCGTCTCTACTAAAAGTACAAAAATTAGCCAGGCGTAGTGGCATGCACCTGTAGTCCCAGCTATTTGGGAGGCTGAGGCATGAGAATCGCTTGAGCCAGAGGTGGAGGTTGCAGTGAGCCGATCAGGCCATTGCACATTAAAAATGAGACTCTGTCTCAGAAAGAAAAAAAAAAATTAAAACCTGCTAAATATAAGTAAATGTTTTCCTGACTTTTGTGAACCACTCTAGCAAATTAATTGAACCCAAAACAGGAGTCGTGGGAACCCCAAGTTGAAGACAGTGTCAGAAGTTCTGCAGGCCCAGACCTCAGACTGGTGGGAAGGAAGTGGTGGTCTTGTGGGACTGAACCCTCAACTTGGGGTTTCTGAAGCTATCTCCTGGCAGGTAGCAGTTGGGTTGAATTGAATTGAATTGGTGGGCACCCAGCAGCTGTCCTATGAGAAATCCCTTACTTGGTCACAGAAATCTTCTGTGTTGACTGTTGTGCACAGTGAGAGTAGAGGAAAACGGTTTGAGTTGGTTTTTCCACACTTGCTACCCGTCCCCAAACAGCAGGGTGGAGAGCATGCGAGCATGCGAGTACGCTCATACTCACTTGGATTAGTTCTCGGGGCCCTGGGGGCTCCTGATCTCCCACTCAGCACCAGGCTACCCAGTGTAAGGTGGCATCTCATGTGAGCTTGCGGTTCTTTAATTACCAAGCGGTCTGAGCACCTCTCGCTACTCCTGTTACACTTGGGCCTCCTTCCCCTGTTCACGGCCTCTGCCTCTTCTGTTGGGGCTGCTGTTGTTTGTTGGTTTGCAGGAATTCTTTGCATATTTCAGATATTTACATATTTCAGATATATTTTCAGTTTTAGACGGAGCCAATCTCTTCTGTCTGCTTAGTCCATGGGGCATTTGTCAAGCTAGTCCAGGAGGTGATGTGAGCCGCAGGTGTTCCTGCTGACCACTGTTGCCACGCACAGGGCGCTCCCCTGAGCCAATATTCCCTGTTGTCAGCTGCCACTGTGAGACCCTGACCAACAACAAATGACCAAGCCAGAAACACTGCACCTTCTCCCTCCATCAAACCACTCCCGCCCCGTGTCCTGCCATCGGCAGTCCTCCCACCTCCCTCCATCCACGCCAGTGCTGCCCCCGCCCTATAAAATCCAGGATCCGCACAACACATGGGATGGTTCATAAGTGCTCCACACGGGGCCTTGGCCTCCTGGCAGGCAGCTTTCATCTGAGAGTCACAGGGCCCTTTGCTGTCACCCTGATGGTCCCTCCCGCCCCACTGCTCTCCACCAGCCACAGCGCCTCAGTGGCCCCAAGCCCTCGCTCCTCTGGACCCTCGCATATGCTATTCCCAGAACGCTTTCCCTGCAGGTCCTGGAAAAATGGCCATGCAAAGGCCTCCTGGATCTTCCATGTTTCACTGTTGGGCCAGTACCCACTGTGTGACGTTGGAGGTGACAGCCCACAGGAGGCATTCCATAGACTCGGTCCCTTGCATTCCACTTCCCCAGGGAGGGCTTCCCCTCCCCAGAGTGTGGGTGGGGTGGCAGTAGCAGAGACAGAGGTAGCACATAGGAGCCTAGAAACAGGAGCTTTATTCTCTAATGTGCGTACGGCAAGTTCCTTACACAATCAAGGAAATAGTTTCTCTTTCAGGCATCGACTCTTTTATCAAAAGAAAATCCATCCTGCTCAGTCCCACCCACCCTGGGCAGAAGTTGCCCTGAGCAATGCTCTTGGCACAAAGCTAAAGGATAATGGGAGGGGTGGGCACATACCACTGCACCCCTACAATGCCCAGATGCCCCAGGCCTGAGTCAGCCATGAGAAGGTGCAGCACAGAGCAGTCACCCACACACCTACACCTCCCCTCACAGCCCCAGAGCCAGCCTGGGAGGACATGGGAAGCTAGCGAATGGGGCGTGGCTAGGGCCTGCCAGTCAAGGCCTGTGCTCAGCATCCATGACATCCAAGTACTTGGCTTCAATGATTCGGGGCAGGAGGATATAGCTGCGGGGAGGGAGGGACAGGAGGATGAGCCTGGATCAGAGAGAAGGCAGTGGGCACCCATCCCAGCCCACCCCAGCCCACCCACAGGGCGAGGCTCTAGGCCTCTCCTCCCCGCCTGCCTATCCCAGCCCGCCCACTCTCCACTCCTAGACTGGAGCCGCTCCTATCCACTACCCACCCCAACCCGCCCACTCTACCTCTAGGCTGGGCGCCTCCTGCCCACCGGCCACCCCAGCCCACCTACTCTCCACCCCTAGGCAGGACCCCTCCTCCTGGGCACTCAGCCCAACCCACCCATTCTCTGCCTCTAAGTGGGACCTCTCCTGTCCACCGCCCACCCGCCTGTACCGGATGGGGATCATGGCGATCATGATGAGAGGAAAGATCATCTTCATGTAAGGCAGGGAGCTCATGCCGAAGGCGCACAGCAGCAGCAGCTGCAGCACCTGCAGGCCTGTGAAGTAGTGGATCTTCCTCTGGGGCACCCTCCGGATGTAGTGTGTCGGGGGGTATGTAGTCTGTGGGCAGCAGGGACCGGGTGTGGGCAGGCATGGGGCTGTGTCCCCACCCACACCGCTCCCTCACAGGGCCAAGCGCTCACCTGCTCCTTGAGCAGCAGGGCCACGCGCTGGACAAGCTGATT